TAATCTGTCAACTTCGCCTGTCCTGTCGGTGTAGACATGCCCACTGCCCACGTTGGTGATTCCCGCAATAAACAAAACATAAACAAACCCAACTGCCGCCATAAGGCCGTTCACATTTTACCATATCTTTCAGGACACTTCTGATCCTGCCTTTAACTCTCAAGTGTCCTCCTGCCTTTAACTCTCAAACCTTTCGATGTATCATACCATTTTCCTGGAACTCTCAGAGTCGCAGCTGAGGTAACCACTACATTCCTTTCCCCTCCCCTTCCGGCGACCCTATCACCCGAGCAGGCACGTCCTTTCGCATGCGTGCCGCGTGACGAATCGATTGGTGTTGCCTCCGCAGCCGCTGTAGAGCGCCAGCTCGCACGCCGCCTTCTGATCGTTGTAGAAGTACCTCATCATCGGACCAAAGCCGCGACAAGGCCCCGCCTGCCAAGGTAGTCGGCAGCGCCGCGCAGCCCGACGTGGGCCCACTCCTTGAACCGGAGGCGCCTTGCACAGATTGCTGCACTCTGAGAACGTGGCAAAGTTGTTGTTGGATCCTCCACATCCGCGGAACTCGAACGGCACGCAGCTGTTTGTGGAGTGGATGAAGGAGTAGCGGACCTCCGCGTCCCGGCACGGCCAACCAGCTCGGCGGGGAGCGCGGAAGCACGCGCCGCGACTCTTGGCGAGCTGCCGACGTACCGGAGCCCGGGAGGCGATCGGGCCGGGGAAGAAGATCCGACGCGGTGCCACTCCAGCAGACTCCGGACTCGTTCGGCGAAAACCGCCGAAACGGTTGGAGAGCTGGTTGGGCTGCCTCCGACCCCCTCTTCGCGGTCCAATGCCGAAGTGAACTCGGGTGTCTCGCGGCGAAGGTCGGAAGGTTCTGAAACCCTGCCAGGATCCTTGTGAGGCGTCCTGCCGAGACCCCGGTCGATTCCACTGACGAGCGCCGCCAGTTCGCGATACCTTCGACACGCCGAAGGTCTTTGTGGTCGGGGGCTCGGGCTCCGTTTTACAAGTATCCCGACACTGTTCGAACGTCGGAAAGTTGTTGGCACTTCCTCGGCATCCTCCGTAGAGGAAGGGGACGCAGCTGTTGGATGCGGCGACGTAGCTGTAGCGTATCATCTCGTCTCCACACCGAAGGCCGGCATCCCTCGCCGTCTGCTGACACGGAGGCAGAGCCTTGGCCCGCTCCCGCTGACAGGCGCGATTACAGCGCACGCGACGAGCCGGCGCGGCGTGAGGTCGGCTCCAGTGACGACGAGGTGAAGCGGGCGCCCAGCTCCTGCTGAAGTGCACCTTCGAGACAGGAGGACCTCCAGCACAGCTCAGCATGCAGGAGAGTAACACCAACACTCCAATCGCCACTCCAACCGACGCAGTTGGCGCTGTGGTGACCATGGTCCCGGACCGAAACAACCTCTCACACTGAGCTCTGGAGCTCGACTGGCCCTGGACCCGTCCGGTCGGCGGTAGCTGTGTTCCGGCGGCGGCTGGCGTCGAGGTAGTAGCGGCCGCGGCGGCCGGGTGGGAATTCCTCCCCTCCCCTTCCCCCCACTCCCGGTCGGATGTGCGCGCGCTGGGATGGACCATGCTGTATCCGACGGTAGCCAGTCGGATACAGCAAAACCGAGCGGAAATCTCTGCGGACGGAAGGCCAGCTTCCTTGGCACGCGCCAAGTCCACGCGACGAGATTGACGTTGGCTGGACGGCCCCTAGAGTGGCCGGTTTTCTGTCCGAAGTAGGACCGGGAGTGAAAAGACCCGCATTTACAAGGTGTGCTGTTAGTGTGTACGAGGTGTTACGAAGTTGACGCCTACCTCATTACGAACAATGACAAGGGCGTTTCGGGCAAAACGGACTTCTGTTGTTGCGTTAATTGCGCTTCTATGACGGAGACAGCGTGGGTTCAAAGAACTGTCTTGCGTAGTGTGCTGAATGCTAATTACGTGAGTCAGACTTCTGAGAGAGATCCGCAATCACCCAGAGGTCAGAAGTGCGCGCTGTTCGCCTCCAGAGGTCGAACAACGCGCACCTGTAAACGAACACGACGCAGCCGGGAGTTCAGTTTGAATCGTCTGATGACAAGACATCCGTGTCGTTAATTAGGCCCAGATGACAGCAATCGACGGATCGTTTGACGAGGATTTGTGAACGTTTCTCATGGCCAGTTTCCGACACGGATAAGAAAATCGTGCGAAACATTATCCCCAAGGAGAACATCATAAGCACAAGGAGAGACGCTTTAGATTACCGTGCCAATAGGTAATTACAGTGATGCCAAAAGAAAACGGGCTCAGACCACATTCGTTGGCTGCTCTTTTTACAGCGTCAAAGTTATCACTAGACCTCCAAAAATATGGAGATCATCTGTTCACGGTGTTTCCATAAATCAGAACTTGATCAAATTAAATTTATGTTCCCTGGTTCGCTGCAGTCCATCGATCCGTTCATCAGCTATCCTCCATTCAGTTTTGGGCCAGTCCTCGATTCATTTCTGGGTCACAAGGAATGTCTGAGCAGTTAGCGCCAAATCGGCACCGACACGTAAGCTCAACCATCACCATAAGCATTCAGCAAGTTTCTCCATAAACATTTCATTTTTGCGATCAAACCGTTCCGCCTTACTAGAAACCACGAACCGTGCCGTCAAATTCCTAACACTCACGCACCACGCCAGCCTCAACCTAAACTGTCTGTCTGTCCCGCAAATCCACGTTCCAGTTGGCTGCAAACCCTCCTCCCCAGCCTTGCAATCCCGCCGCTCTAATTACAACAAAACCTGCAGCTCTACTCCCTGCCTACGTCACAGCAACGCGACCGGAAGCGCCAATTGCAAGTCGTCGCGGTCTGCTGACGTCAAACGACACACCATGGGTTTTCGGTGACCCAAAGTTCGCGGAGGGCGCGATGGCTTGCAGGGACGCCCACAGCAACGGATGACGCGAGTGTTGAGAGTGAATGGAGGGCGTCACTTCCCACTGATAGTGACTGGCGGTGATTAGTTCCAGAGCAATGAATGGTGCTCGCCCACTGCTGAGGGTTGTCCAAATATGGTTATGGATGGGTGAGGGTCCGTACACTGGGTCAGGCTTTAGAAAGTGCTCAATTTTCTGATTGCTATTACCGGTTCAATGGTTGGTCAAGACTGATAACCTGTTAAAGGAAGACTGCCACCTTCAAAAAGTTTTCTCAGATCGGCCTATGATTTATTCCCTGGACAAAACAAAATTTTAGAATTCACCTGACAAAGTATCATCACGTGAATCGCGGAAAAAATTGTCGATTATCATACAATTATCAATCGGTTAATGTCTAGCGACAATGTTTACACATCACTAGACTTCAAGGTCATAAGATTATTACATTTTATTTGAAAAAGTAAGGTATTTTATGATTTACTAATATATGATTTCATAAGAAATTGGCCATGTTTAATTTATTTTGCATTTAAGTTCGTAAAACATTTAAAAATCATGGCTCATTTGGAATGGGTCTGGCCCATGTTAAACCCCATTTCCCACAGTTTTTGGAAAAAATGAACTACTGAATATATAAGTTTAACTTTTATTTTGACACTCCAAAATTCTTCTCTGATCTCGAAACAATCAAAGTTTTGACATATATTTACCAAAAGATAAGAAAATTCATGTTTCAAAGTTATCGATAAACAGTAGAGATGTCGGTTTTCTTGGACTAAAAAAATGGCATCAAACTGAACTTTGGTCTCCGATTTCTCGCAAACGGGTTCGAATTTCGGAAAACCGACTTCAGCCTGGGACATAGGTGGCTCAGCTCTAGTGAAAACCGTTTTGTGAAAAAAAGGTGGCAGTCTACCTTTAACAGTGATTCACCATAGGAATTATGAGCATCTGACACGGATGGGTAAGACGAGAATCGGAAACAGTATCTAGACCGGAAATACCACAAGTACAGTCCACTAAAACAATCCCCCAGCATCTCCACTTAAACACACATGAATTGTGACTTATAACGGACAGCAACATGAGCGCACACTACACAAGATTCATTCATGACTGCCGTTGGCCCAAGATATTCAGTGCTGTGGGTGGAGCCCCGGTGTAGATCTACTTACTAGCTCTGGTCTCGCACTCAAGGCCATGGCTATGTCCGGTCTCCCACAGTCGCCTGCGTTTGTATATAATAACGGGATAAAATAGCGGCAACACGGTCCACTTTTACCGACGCCAGTAACAAACTGCGGTGCTTGTGACAGAGGTCGAGTCAGAAGGTACTTAAAACTCCCACAGAAACAGCATTTATGCTGAGAATTGGGCAATGAGCGCGTCTTAAATTCACGAAACGGTTCTGTGAAGATGAATGAGTCACGATGAGTTTGTAATACACTCTGCACACCTGGCAATGGGAGAAACACAAATCATCGACGCGTGTAAAAGTCATCTGTAATGAGTTGGTGGCTTTTATGTTCTCATGTCAACGAGACCATAAAGACAATTCATGAGGCTGGATGCATGTAAAACCTGAATGCATACAAACACGGACACGAAAGTAAAGCATGCGTACACAGATAAAGCTAAACAGAAGACGGTTTGAACATACGTTCCGTGCACGAACGACGAGTTTCAGTCTGGGTCTATGGGAAAAGTGGCTTCCGCTTCTGCCTGCCCCTGAAGGCAGGCAACGGGCTGCAGGAAAACCAGCAGTCGTGGGGCTGGTAAAGAAAAAAGATTTTGAGACCTATCCAGTGATAAGTTTTACTATAGATAACATGAATCTAACATGAATAGATAACATGATTCATGTTATCTAAGGTTATACATAACTTGATGCTTGCAGACTACAGAAGGTGCAGTGTAACGCAGCATCAAGTAACCATCCCGTGATGATGATGACAATGTTTACTTTGTAACGCTTTTGTGACTGATGAGGCTTGAAAACCAGAAAATATTACATGTGATGACTTACATGTGATGCACACGTAGTTTCAATGCTTCGCTTGGAGGTGTTTTATAGTTCAAGATATGTAATCAAACACGTTTATTACAAAAGCGACAAGAAGGCCAAGCATAGCATAGCATAGGAACGTCACTAAGGAACACTACGGGGCGTTCACATATACAAGAATCCGTACAAATATTGATAGAAATTATGTTCATCAAAGCTCGTCAATCAAGACATTACATTGTCAAACGCGCATCATTGTTCGTTACAAACGGAACAGTTCGGGTTCCTCTCTGGTCAAAACCCAGCTTCCTACAATCCAACCACAGCCTACCACATCACATGTCAGTCGGTAGTCAATTCAACACTCCCTCGCAGCTGCCAAATGCGTCGAAACATTCAATGGCCTCAGAATACTGGCACTTGGCTTAGGAAATGCACAGTAGAATCACAAACTCTTAGCCCTTTTAGTGCGATGCAGAGGTAAAAAATGGTAGTTAAACTTCAACCAAGAGTAACAAAATGAGCAAAGTATCAACGCAATAATACAATGGTAAGAACACCGTCGCTTGTCATGTTACATGTCTTATGTGAATGAAAATACAATCGCTAACACAACCGATATCACTGAATAAAAAACGAACAAAAACCATTCTTTCCAGACGTCTCATCACATTTCTGATTCCCAAACCCTACCGTATTGTCATTGGCACACCATTCCAAAATAACACTGGTCTCTGAAAGCTCTCACAAATATCGCGATCAAACGACTCAATTCGAGTGCTACCAACGTGCCCGATGCCATATCACACACATTCCTTACTCGTCACTGAAAGACCGACTAAACGAAGAAGTTCGTTGATTCAAAACCAAGTAAGAAATCGTAATACTGGAACGTAAGGTTCCTTTCACCGATTCTCATAGAACGGCGGAGTGTGGTCATAGAAATGACCACCACAACGCAGGGATTCTTGTGAACAAACACTTTACTCTAAAGAAACGATTACATTGAGCTAACACAAGTCGCATAATACACCACAGGAAGCAGCATCGAGTCTAACAAGCGTGTCTGGAATTACTTAACCTAATGTCTTTAAATGCATAAAAATGGTGGATATATAAATCACGGGAACGAGTGCTGAAAAGTTTCTTGATAACGGTACATTGAGGAAATGTTCATACGTGAAACGTAACCGTTTAAGCCCAGCATACGACTACCGAAAGGCTGCACCATATTATAGTTTTCCAGCAAGACTATCACGGAAACATGAAACATTAAATATAAAAACCAAAAACATCTTCAGCACACCCTTGTCCGCAGGTCATTCCCTCTCCACGTCTACACGACTCTTTGGAAGAAACCTGCAGAAAAGCGTCCCCGGGCAGTATCTAGGCAAGATAGCTGCCAAAACGACACAAACTCTGAGCTTTCAGCTTAGCACACTACAAAACTAACAAATGCAAGCTACAACATATAGCCGAAGCGCAACACGTAGAACGCCCTGATTTGGTGTACGATGATCTTACGAGGCTCGATTAGGAACGGAACTATCAACCTAGCTACCAAATTGGCAAACGCACCACCTTACACCTAATGAAATCGGAGGAATACCTGGGAAAAAGGAAATTGATGACGTCGCCTGTGATCTTCGGAAAAGAAGTGAAACTGCAAAATCTACCCGCGGTGGCGATATTTTTGCGGAGATGCAAGTTTGGCGTTTGATCTCTGTTAATGTGATTAAGGCACCAGACAGAACTTTAGGCAGGATTCTGGACAGGGCTGTACGTCGAGAAACGACGCCCAAAATTTCTTCTGATGAGACGTAGAAAAGCTCATGCAAGTCAATAAATCACTGTCCAGTTGTGAATAAGATCCACTCAGCTTTTTGTGAGTGAAGCAGATGATAGAATAGCCAATTATGAAAATATTGGATCTTTTAGATGATGAGAATACCAAAATTTCCACACTAGCCAAAAATGTCCGCACCATGAGATGACGTTGAATCTGTGAAAAGTATTCCTTACTAACCATCCAGTCATCAGAGCAAAACCTTGAGTCCAGCGGTTAACGATACCATGACCACTACCGAGCACAGCCTGCCGCAAGGAACCGTACTAGGACCACCAGAGGACGATCCGGCGCCTTTGGACTTCACAGCATCAGCTTCTTTGGCCGTCACAGCTCCAGTGCCTGCATCGGATGGCATCTTGTCATCATCATCGATGTCATCACCATGATCATATTCATAATCATCACCATCTTTCCAGTTCTCTGGTCGCTGCTTCCTCTCCGAATCCTGTTCGTACTTTTTCTCTCCTTTCAACCCTGCTTCTCCCTGACGTAGTTCAGTTTCACCCTGGCGCTGCTGAGGTCGTTCCGTCAGCCCTCCCGAAGACGGTGACGTCTGGCGTGGACGGTATAAAGTCACAGTCGTCTTCACACGCACTCTGACGGGCCCTTTGGGCTGTGTGACTGCCGTCTCCTCGCTGACGTCCTCTCTTCCCATCCCAGACTCGTTTCCATTCCAGTCCCCGCGGCGTCTTCCCTCTTCTTCCAGACGCCTTTCTACACCCTCAGAACTATCTCCATCGTCCATGATTTCCCCGTCGCTGATATTTCCTCTATCTTTGATAAGTCCTCCGTCGTCAATGATTCTACCATCCTCAATGCTTCCTTCGCCCTCCATTCGATCCAATTCCTGCTCCACCGGATTCTCAGCAGCGTCATCTTGTCCCCATTCCTCATCCTCCAACTCCTCGCGTCTCCCACCCTCCTCTTCTCCCCTCACGTCTTCCTCTCCCTGCTCTTCTGACACCCTCCCCTCTTCTCCTTCCGTTACATTCACTCCCCACTGCCTCCGTCTACATTCTGCCTCTTCTTCATCCAGAGAGGGAGCGGAGGAGATACTCCACTCCGGCGGGGCCGGGCCAGTCTGGAACTGAACCCGCAGCGGCTTACCGATCTGGGAGCTGGTGGTGGGGCCCGGACGAACGAACAGGTATGACGGCCGGCCCTGGGGGAGAGAGGGGGAGGGTGAGTGAGTAATGGGAGAGAGTGAGTGATGGGAGAGAGAGAGAGAGAGAGAGAGAGAGAGAGAGAGAGAGAGAGAGAGAGAGAGAGAGAGAGAGAGAGAGAGAGAGAGAGAGAGAGAGAGAGAGAGAGAGAGAGAGAGAGAGGAATGGAGGGAGAGGGAGGGAGAGATGTCAAGAGAGGATACGAGAGAAAAAGAAGACCACACAGAGTAGGAAGAAAAACAAGAATGAAAGGAAGAAAGAAGAAAAAAATGAGAGGAAAAAAGGAAGCAAGAAAGAAAGAAGAAGTAAAGAAACGGAGTCATACACGATAATAAAGGACAACGGGAGGCACAGCACATACGAAGAGCCCAGAACGCGCCTGGAGACACGGTGAATGAATAGGCCGATGACACGTTCCGATATACACAAGCCTTGGCGCAGACATACACACAAACACACCCAGCCAAAAACACAAACAGTGCCACACAAAGAGTACAAAACAGTCAGCCAGTAAACATTAGGGAAACATGAGTCATTTGGTCAACAATGGAAGCAGGAGGAGCAAAGCATACGTGGTAAAGCGCGAGCCACGAGTAGCATGGTGGATGTGTTTAGCCCCATGTTTAGCCGTTTAGCCTAAAAAACAGGAACAAATGTGTTTTGGATATAAATTTCCCATTCTTCGTCTCGCTCCGATCAGCAAAACATTTTCTTGAACGATATTGTCTAATATTATATAAATGATCTTTGAAATCACCAGGAGGCAGGAACAAAGTCATCCGTATTCCGTACAAATGTCGTAAATATTTGAGACCGGTTTCGTATTCTGCACATCAGGGCCGATACCGCCAATGTCTTATTTCTGCCAACTGGTGTGCCGCAAAGTGCCATTTTCCCAGTTAACCCGCGCCCTGCTGGGGGGGGGGTGTTTGAACACCCCCCCTTGTGGTTTTTCGCGAATATCTCAAAAACGGCGGCGCGGAGCGCCGCCGTTTTTGGTACACCTTATCATACATCAATTCTACACATGTTGTGAAAATTTCAGACCAAGGTCATTCAAGGTCAGGTCACCAGGTCACTTGAAGTGACCTCCCCTCATAAAAAGTTTCAATGTCTGTCATAGCTACACCGAGTGACCGATCGCTTTGAAACTTTCAGCGATTGCTAAGAGCAATAGCATGTACAAAATGTATATCTCAGAATTTTGATATCGATGACCTAAGGTCAGGTCAATTTTGCGACCTCCCCATTATAAGTCAATGGGAGAAAATTGAAATGCGCCTCTTTTGGATGAAAGACATTATAAACACTCCCAAACACCGAATTACAAGTGGTTTAGACACACTGAACATGAAAATGGTGTCCATGACCCTTGTTTATGCCCTGAGGTCATCTTAGGTCACGAATGGTATCTAACAGTTTTTCGCAAATAACTTTTGATAGAGGCATGCTAGAGCGATGAAAACGCCTTAGATGTGTTCAGCTCGACGATACGGATCGACTGATATGCAACATGACCCTTTCCGGTCAGGTCATGACCTTGACCTGAGGTCAAATTTTCAAGTTGACCTTTCAAGGTCAAGTTATAGTTCATTCGATGCGTCTTGACGAGAGGAACACGATGCCGGTAAAAGTAAGCTCGTACAGGGCTTGGGTCAAAAGTTATTGAAGAAAAACTGTTTCCGAAAAAATCGGCTATTTTTGCAGTTTTTGCCCCCTGCAGGCAAAACCGTTGACGTTAGGTCAAATCTGAGAGAATTACTCAGAAAGGGCGTTAATAGGGCTATCGAATGCGCTTTTCCGCGGCGCTGTAGCTCTATTGGTTCCCGAGTTATGCGTTGGCTTCTTGGAAATTTTCGCCATTCGACCTGGAAATCGGCGAAATTTTGCCTTCAATGACCTCTGGTGACCTGACCTTTGACCTGACCAAAAAATTGACCGAAGTGATTTCGTCATTATTTTTGACGCTCTTTCGAACGCCGCCTTTCGCGTATCGCTACGTGGCCCAGGAGCCGAGATACAAGGGGGGGTGTTCAAACACCCCCCCCCAGCAGGGCGTGGAAATCCAGGACCCCCAGCCGGGCGCGGGTTAAGTAGGTAGCCGGCCGGCATTTTGTTAGAGGTTTACTAACCCGCGCCCCGTTGGGCTCTGCCGAGCAACGCGCCCCGTTGGGGGGGGGGGGGCATTTTGGCCCCCCCCCCCCTAAGATCTAGAGAACCACGCAACGTAGCGACAAGCGGCAAACGGTGTTGGATAGCCCTATCAGGGAACTACCTTGTGACGCAATTTTATTGACCTAGGTCAAACCGATGACGTCACAGGTCAGGTCAAAAGTCCAATTTTCACCGTTTACAGGCATTTCAAGAAATGCGTTGTAAAATCCAGTAAAATGCATTTCATTGAAAATCATCGATGGGGAAATGTTATTCAGACACATATTTTGCTAGTTGAGGTCACTGATACCAGGTCAGGTCACTGAGGTCAGGTCACTGGGGGGTCACAATATGAAAGTGTCGTGTGATACATGTTTTATGGTCCATTTTACATGACAAATGCGATTATGTGGGTCAGGCAGCCTTTGGGGCCAGCTTAGGTCACGTTTTGGTCAAGGTCAGGTCAAGGTCAGGTCAAGGTCAGGTCAAATAAGGTCAAATTTCAAAGTTGATATTTTTGCATAAAATGGGTATCGAATCGATGCAGCTCGTCACGGGGAGTTCAATGGTGGTCTTTGTTTTGCCGTACGAGGTCTAGAATCGCTAAAAATTGAGTTCAAAAATTTGACGTCATCATTTTTGAACAGTTTTTTCGCTATAACTTGGCCAAAAAACGAGATATCGATCTGAAATTTGGTATGTATATAGAAGAGCGCAGGGACTATCACATATATTCCGGTTTTTTCGAAATTCGGAAAAATTTTGGATTTTTTTTTTTTAGTTTTTCTAAAAAATCAATTTTTTGAATTTTTTTGGGTTAAAAACCCAAAATTTTGAAAATCCGAGATAGCAGTTTTGTAGCGCCGCTTTTTGTCTATTAGACCGTATAAAGAACTTTGAAATTGCTTGATAACTGTAGATTTGGTGAGCGTTTCAAGATTGCATGTTTTTTGCTCATTTTTGCTCGAACATGACCTCAGTTTGACCTCAATAACTCCTGACCTAAGGTGACCTAAGACTTGAAATTTGGTGTGAAGGTGTCAAATTGATGCCCGGAAAGGTACTGAAAATTTGGCGGCGCTGCGCGCCGCCGTTTTCTTGCTATTCAGGAAAAACCACAGGGGGGCCAAAATGCCCCCCCCCCCCAACGGGGCGAGGGCTAATGTAAGCTGCCAAGTGGCAACAAAGCCGCAACCCTTTTCGGGAAATGCATCGTTTGTCCTCATACCTCCGGGCTGATAGCATGCCATCGAAGTCACCCTGACGCAAAATACCCAACCAAAGATTCATTCAAGCGGTTCAACAATGCAAAAGGATACGATTGCAATCAGCGGGGAATGTCCGCCTTAGCAGGACTGTGCGACACGCGAATTACTGCTAACAGGAACAGGGAAAAACGGGCATCTAAAAATATTTAAACGATAGTCTGCGGCCATCTGTGATGTAGGTACTAAATACCCAACAACTCTGGCTAGAAAATCGCAATTATTTGGCGTCGAAAGCATCATTGCTATCCAAATGACGTCAATAAGTTTCATGTGACGTAACGAATATTTACAGGAAAGCAATTCTCGAATTGGCGTTGCGTAAGCAAACAGCTCTACGGAAGCACGATAAAGCTAAAGGTGTTCAGTTAATCATAGTACATTTTGTTTGATTTGTTAACACACCGTGTCCAAAGATCGATCTAACTTTCTCTGTTGAATGTTCAAGATCACGTCAATTGTTAGTCCTGCATTTTCAAGCCCTTAGTATCTGAGAAAAGCAGAAAATTTAGGACACTTTCTTACTGGACCTCCATGCTTAGTGCTGAACAGCGTTATTCTAGCACGCAGCATGTGCCATTTATCTTGATTAGAAGCTCTTATAAACAATATTTGCCACTTTTCTAGGCTAATTAAGACCCAGCGTCCGACAGTTTGGTTATTTAAGATCATTATCATTTTATTTACAGCTTGCATCACGTCTCAAACACACATGGTGGCAAACATCAAAACACATCGAGCCAATCACACGTCACGAAAACATATATAAACACATGTCACAAACATCACATAACGGCGGATGTCCGCTTATATAAATACAACCCACGTGTGTACGTAACTCGACAATAGTGTAACATTAATGCGGCTATCCACATGCTTAGCAGAGTTCGAGAAGAGAGCCAATACCAAGCTAAGACGGATGGAGCGGCAACAATAGATGGATAGATGAACTTAGACCATAAACCTTTTTCAATTTTCGAAAAGACGTCTGCCAAACCACTGCATCCCAAATCCCAACCCACCAATGGCGAGCGTCCATCCCAGTGACGTCATCGACCTACCTGCGGGATGTCGAACACTGCACAGTCGGTGAACTCCTGACACGTGACGTCATCAGTTGACAAGGAGTCCAGCTCGCCGTCATCCATACACTGGAAAGCAGGGGAAGCGAGTGAAAGGACGACATCGCTGACCTCCGAGCGAAGAGAGACCGGTCGTGAGATGGGAAGTACGCGCGGGAAATATTATCGAGGCAGGACCGCGTGAGTTTTGAGAATGTGAAGTTGTGAAATGCAAACACGCGATATATGTAGGGAGTAAGGCCTTGGAAACGACAAGTGTTCCGAGTTAAAAATATTTCTAGCGGCTGTAACAAGCAAACCTGAATGGACTTTTCGTCAAACCTTTCGACCAAAAAGACTCATGCAACCTTATATTTAACCCTCGCCGGACCTATTGGTTTTCTACATACGCGCCGGCCGAGGGGGGGGGGGGGGGCGGGTACGACCCCCCCTCGCCGTTTCGCCCCTGGTGGAGCTAGCGCGTCGCGGAAAAAACGAGCGTGTGCGCCGTTACGAGACGCAGAGATTGGTACCCGATTTTAAGGTCCTAGGTCAACCGGTGACCTCTGAGGTCAGGTCAAGTGCCCCAAGGTACGGTTCAGTTTTTGGTGAATAACTTCGCAAAAAACGGCCGCAGAGCGCCGATTTTGGCAGCATCGTGTTCGTCTCGCTCAGGCGCGTCGAATGATATACTTTTTGTCCGGGTCAGGTCAACTTGGGGTGTTGACCTCAGGTCAAGGTCAGGTCAGCACCCCCAGGTCACGAAGCTGGTCGAAAGAGGTCATGTCGCATATCATTCGATTCGGCAGGTCTTCCTAAGTCCATTGGTGGCTTTCCCGACTCGCTAGCTCAATTTGATCAAGAGTTATTGACGAAAAACTAATATGATCTTGATGACGTCATAAATGACGTCAGGCAAGGTCAACATTGCAAAAGTGACGCATCTAACCTTGCAAGGAGTGCATAAAATCACGATTCTGTGTGCTTGAGATAGTTGGAGATCGTTCCCAGCGCCAGAATAGCAGTTTTCATTTTTCCCCATTGACTTATAATGGTGAGGTCACGAAAATGACCTGACCTCATATGACCTTTAGGAAAAATCCGAGATATACAAGTTGTGGGACTCATAATGGATACTAGATCCTGCAAGTTTCATTTCCCTGTGACATCTCCTCTGGCAGTGAGGGCGTTGCGAAGTTGCGACATCTGAAGACCGTGCAGAGGTTCACTTATGACGTCATAGGTCAGTGACCTGACCTGACCCAAAAATGCGGTTGGTGTCAAAAGATGCGGCTTGGATCAAAGGTCAGGTATGCCAAGTTTCAGCTCTCTATCGCCAGCGTGTTCGGAGCTATCGCAAAAAAAACCCTATGGGGGGGGGGGCGGCACCCGCCCCCCCCCCCCTCGGCCGGCGAGGGTTAAAGGAAATAGTTCACTTTCACGAAATTATTTTTTTGCAACGATTTATGATTTTTTATGTTCAAAATAATCAGCAAAGTAAATAAAACCTTTTTATAACAAAATATTTTTTTTTCTATATTTTGATATAGGAAGAACTTTTCAGTTTCTGTAAGGCACACGCGATCCAGTATGAAAAGAGCATGGGTCCCGAAAATTCTTCAGAAACAGAGAAATTATCGCAGCCACCGGCATTTGGGCGATCTGCTCGATCTGATAATGTTCCCCTGAATGTCCTAATTGATCAGTACGAGAATTTCTCTAGAGTTCTCGTAGATAATCTCTCTAGTTTCTGAAGAATTTTCGGGACCCATGCTCTTTTCATACTGGATGGAAATATATGCAAGGCACACATCCTCAACGCAAGACACCTTTTTCGGGACGAGAAATAGAATATCTTTGCCTAGGGTGATCGTTGGGCTGTAAAAGCTCCTGATTTATGCTCGTCTCAGCCTAAGCTACGGAACTGCTATTCCAGTTCAAAACCCATGTTAAAAAGTGAACTATTTCCTTTAAACCAATCACAATGAACAGTGAACACACAATTTGATCATGCATTTTGGGCGCAAATTAGTTGAGCGACTTTGAACTTCTTAGTTCTTAAACTACATGAATCTAGATTTTGCCTTAGAACCGTGACTAAAAGAAGTTATAAATGGCTCTTCATATACAGCCCAGTATCGTGGGTAAAGCCATGCTCCTAAATATTCATTCTGCCACGATCCCTGTCAGTGCAAACCGTCAACTAGCGGCACCTAGCGGGCTGCTCCGAAATCGTAGCTTACAGGCAGTCCCATTTTCCACAGGCGATTTCCTTTCTGGTCACTACTCACTTCTCTTTCTTACATCTCTCTCTCACTCACTCACTCACTCACTCACTCACTCACTCACTCACTCACTCACTCACTCTCACTCTCTCTCGCTCTCTCTCTCACTCACTCACTCACTCACTCACTCACTCACTCACTCACTCACTCACTCACTCACTCACTCACTCACACACTCACTCACTCACTCTCACACTCTCTCTCTCTCACTCACTCCCTCTCTCTCTCTCTCTCTCGCTCTCTCTCTCTCTCTCTCTCTCTCTCTCTCTCTCTCTCTCTCTCTCTCTCTCTCTCTCTCTCTCTCTCTCTCTCTCTCTCTCTCTCTCTCTCTCTCCTTCTCTCTCTCTCCTCACCTGCAGTTTCAGACAGGCCACGGCTGGCGTTCGGTCTCCACTCCTGACAGCCACAGCGGATGGTCCGAGCTCCCCACCGTCCGGTGACCACGGTAGTCTCCGGTACTCCAGCCGACCCAGTCGCACGTCCCACTCGCCGCCGGCACTGTCAGAGAAGACCGGTGTAGAACGCGTCAAGATTCGCATTGGATACGCGGTATTTAGTGTGGGAGTATTGTGGGGAGTATTACTCATGAAAACATTGCCTACCAAAAATCAGAAAACTGGCCGTTGCAAAACTCGATATGCTCATTGCTGATGTCTGTGCCAAAATCAATATCAGGGTTCATAATTAACTCCTCCGTTCCGTGCTTCTATCCTCAGGATACTGAAATCCTTCTCCTCCACGCCGCAACCCCCCTCCGAGCTGGACAGGCAACTTTATCTCATGCGGGCTGCTCCCTTGGAGCGGCACCGCTGCTCCCGAGGGAGCGCACCCCGTAGCCGGGTGCAGTGAGTGCCTTGGGGCTGGTTGGCCTGTCCTCTGGACGGGCTCAGCCCCGGCGACTCACTAGGGTGCCTGCCCAGACCAATGTCTCCCCCTATATCCTATCATCCTCCCGGCTCTGCAATGGTCTCATTGGACCGAAAGGGCCTAACCCAACAAAACAAAACAAAAAATCATAATTAACTGAATAATTGATCGCTTTTTAGTCTTCAACTGATTGGATTGATCTAACTGGTCTAACTTCGGGAATAAAGAGCAATCAATAAATCAACTCACAGTAACAGAAAAAGGAGATGAGGATATGATTTATTAACATCGTGAAACACCACAGTCAACAGTTCTGTTTCCCTAAAACTAGCTACAAATCTAACAGCTATAGCTCAACCCCTCTACCGGTTTGTCCCCAGATAATTATTAATTAACAACTCCGCACCAAACCCCAGCTCCCGGGGTCCATTGCGGTATATTATACCCTCCTTCCCACAACACTATTGAAGAAAGGACCTCATTGGACTACATCCCGCACCTCTCACGACAGATGCACTACCAAACCTACATCATTTCTCACCTGATCAGGACGGGTGTGCTGCCGATCCTACAGAAGATCCATCGTTGGTTCTCGGCCGTCTCGGGTTTCCATAGCACCTGAACTGACACTGTATCCACGCCGGCTGCGCCGCAAACCGACCAGCGGAGCTCGGAGAGGGAGCCGCCCACTCCTTCCGGGCTGCCGAATAGCAGCAGTTCAGTCATCAGTAGCGAATTAGGAGGGTAGTTAGAGAAGAGAGAGAGAGAGGGAGAAAAGGGATGGTCAGATCGAGTGAGATATTACAGATACTGACACACGGAGCAGCGTAGTTTGGGGAGGGATCCGCCGACTCCTTCCGGGTTGCCGAGAGAGAGGGAGGGAGTGAGAGAGAGAGAGGGAGTGAGAGAGAGAGAGAGTGAGTGAGAGAGAGAGGGTGAGAGTGAGAGAGAGAAAGAGAGAGAGCGAGAGAGAGAGAGAGAGAGAGAGAGAGAGAGAGAGAGAGAGAGAGAGAGAGAGAGAGAGAGAGAGAGAGAAGAGAGAGAGAGAAAGAGAGAGAGAGAGGAGAGAGAGATAAAGAGAGAGAGAGAGGGAGGGAGAGAGAGAAGAGAGAGGAGAGAGAGGGAGGGAGAGAGAGGAGAGAGAGGGAAAGAGAGAGGGAGAGAGAGAGGAGAGGGAGAGGGATAGAGAGAGCAAGAGAGGGAGAGGAGGGAGAGAGAGAGAGGGGGGAGAGAGGGAGAGAGGGAGAGAGGGAGAGAGAGAGAGAGGGGGGAGGGAGAGGGAGAGAGAGAGAGAGAGAGAGAGGAGAGAGGAGAGAGAGAGAGAGAGAGAGAGAGAGAGAGAGAGAGAGAGAGAGAGAGAGAGAGAGAGAGAGAGAGAGAGGAGAGAGAGAGAGAGAGAGAGAGAGAGAGAGAGAGGAGAGAGAGAGAGAGAGAGAGAGAGAGAGAGAGAGAGAGAGAGAGAGACGATTATAGAGATATACTGACACACGGGTAGATACTCTTCAGTCGACGTTCGTTGGCGGTTGGAGACAATACTGACCGGGTGGGGACGGACAGGGTGGGATAGGACAATACTAACCGGCTGGGAAGGGCTGTCAGTCTCCGTTGCATCTCGGTTCCATCGTCTCTCCTGAGCAGAAGTTCGGCGCCCCCCACGTGCGCCAGGTAGGGACCGAACATGCGCAGCTCCACAGCTTCCTCCTCACTTACTGGAGACGGCTGCAGCATAGACATTCACTCAGTACAGAATGGCGGGGGACTTATTTAGAGACGGCTGTGGCGCACAAGCATACAATATACGAGCACGCACAAGCGTACGATATACACTATGACGCACAAGCTTACAGTATAATGACAGGGACAGAAGTACATATTTTATCTGAGAACTGAGGACATGTTAGAAACTTCTGATCGACATGACAAATATAAGTAACCAAAAAGGAGCGCGTCAGCGACAAAGGAAACTAGTAAGTGGTAGGGAAGTGACCAGTCAAAGTGGTAAAAGACTGAAAGTCTTGCGGTAATAGAAAGCCTGGTTGTTGTGAAAACAGTGGGGCTAGCGAAAATTGCGGCTGGAAAAATGGGCTAGCGCTGGGAAAATTGACTCAGCCATCTCTAACACCTGGAAATCGTAAAAATAAAGACATTCTTAGGTGTTGTTTTTATCCGCTGGGACTGAAAGCGTGAGATGATGTTTTTCGTACTCCAGCGTAGATGGGTAGCCATACGGCTTCCACGGTTGACAGTGATGACATCAGTCATCTTTTGCAAGCTCGTTAAAGATTTGGGCTGTACGGGGATAAAGTACTTGGTCTGTATAGCTCAGAGGTAGAGCATTGGAGCGCTAATCCCAAGGCCAGGGGTTCGTATCCCCGTACAGCCCAAATCTTTAACGAGCTTGCAAAACATGACTGTCATCACTGTCAACCGTGGAAGCCGTATGGCTACCCATCTACGCTGGAGTATAAAAATTAAGACATTTTACCGACAAAATAGCGCACGTTAAGTAAGCGACTTTTTTTTGCTATGAAATAAGAGTTATGCCACGACATTTCGGTGATCACAAAATCCAATTTCTCTCGTCCGCTGCAATCAAACCGCACACTCAGTGCAATGAAGGCACCATTCAAACCCATTGAGTGGCCACTCTGCAGAAAACTCTGACGGTCCAGCTCTGACCCGGGAAACCCCCGAGCCTGGCCTGTGTGACCTTGCAGTGACCCCTGGTGGCCTAGCCATGTCACCCAACACCTCGTCAGTCCTTCAATCAGCCACAGTAGCGATCGGCGACTCTGCACAGAGCTCGGTGGAGTGTCAACTAGCCATTGTCAGTATTCAACGTCTCACATGCAGATGATATCATACAGACAGCAGAGTGAAATATCAAGGGTCAAGGCTTGCAGAGTGAAACATCAAGCGTTAAGGCTAATAGAGCCAGAAGGGTGTCTCAAAATCAATGTCACGGTTTCCGCTGTTACAGTCTTACAACGTTCATATCACATCACACATACAGAAGGATTGACAGTCACTGTTAAACAATACATGTATTTCCCTTTATCAATAATAAAGACCAGCATAAAATTCGGATTTCGGCACGTCGGTTATTACGCTGTCCGGCGTCTTCGAGCCGACCCCGGTTGCTGGCGCTAATCGTTCTTGTCGATCTCATGTTTCGGTTCAACCAGTTTCGATGATTTGTTCCTGGATGATCGTCGACAGTTTTCCAGGTCCGGGTGAAAAATCATCGAACGTTTTGAAAGGTCGACGTGTCTGCCACAGCGGCACTGATTCAAAAATGATCCTGGAAGTGTCCAGCAAAATTTTGACTTCTCTGGTAGGCCTTGCTTCTCCTTGTTATTGTCAACGCCACCTTCTTGACGAGGATCTCTATTCTCTTGCAAGCAGAAGTCGGCGATAGCCGCTTGGCAGTCTGTAGAAGAGACGTCTAAGGCATAATGAGCACACTAGCGATTGTTCATCAGAAGCGACCCTGGTGGGGATAATGGATGAGCTTGAATGGGGACTCATCCAACCAAAACAGGTCATTGGGTCTACCTACCTATTGGGTGTCCAGTTGCACCTCACGGCTCACTATGCTGAACACCATCATCTAGCTCTTCTCTGTTTCCTTCGTAATTTGATCAGTTACCTTGGAGATTGGGTGACCGCATGGCAGTTTGTCTCCTTGTGCTGTTTTCTTGCCAAATGGCTTCTCCATTTTCGCTTCCCCGTCGTTGGCTTTTTCTCCTGTGATGTTTTGTTTTCAGGGATCTCCCCACCTCCATTGTGGGACAGTCAGCAAACATATTGCGACAATTAATCTAATCATGATAAGAGCTTCAACAGCTTGTGCTGACCACAAGCCCTAACCCCAGCAATCATGCAAACCGCCTGGCTGTACCAGTAGTGGTAGTTAAACTCAGCTACTTTATCACTCTGGGACACCACTGATCTACAATTTTTATGCCCTCATCCTCCACCTAGGTACACCTTGACCTGACCAATCAGTGTCATGGTCATCAATGGGTCACATCACTCATCACTGCTAGGCCTCTGAGGAGGCTTTTTGAAAAATCTTATGGAAGCTTATTCATAGTGTACCCTAAGAGATGACAACTGACAAGTATGAGTAGCTAAATAACATACAGCAATAGGAAGTGCAAAGAGGACAACTAAGTGCTGCTATAACTCCCTCATTTTGTTGTGTGCTACGAACACTCAAGGAAAAAGTCAGGGTCCAATCAGATGAGAGCAGGAGCCAAATCCAATCAAGTGAGCTGCAAAGGTTGAGTATGTCAGCATCAACCACACAAACACAAAACATTGAGGACTGGACAAGTTATCTGTTATAGATCCATCTCATCTTACTTAAATCACTTGTAAGAGCCCCATTTCCACACTCATGACTCACCAGTGAAAAAGTGGCTGCTTCCACTTTGACTTTTCGCTGGCTACTGGCCGACTTTCTGGCACGGTTCATTGACTTCCGACTGTCTGCCTGGGCTGCACATGATGCTACCAGAAACAGCAGCAGAAAGACAGTGACAGCATTGTCACACATGACTTTCAACACACTTTGCCTTTCACTGCCAGCAGCACCTGAGAAAAAATGTTGATTTTGATATCAGTATTGGGATTTTAGAACATTACCAAGGATTCAAGTTTTACCTATTGATCTGCTGTGATGTGGTTACTAGCACAACTCCATATTTAACACTTCAATCTGTGAGTTGGAAGAGTTTTACAGTTTATCAAGAGCAGACAGCTTTAATGACACTGATGGTAGAGTCTGAAATTGAGACAAGGGTCCAAACTATAAAACATCCACACACTTCGGCACGGTTTCGGCACGCGAGACCCTCGCGCGCCGAAATTCGGCGTAAGCGATTTTGCGCTGAAATTTCTGCATGATTTGCGCTGTAAGTTGGATGTCTATTTGCGCCAAAATTAAACATAAAGCACCTGCGCACATCTACCGATCTAGGCTATATCAATCAGACAGAGCGTTCCGGGATTGAGCGTCCGAATTAGTTGATGCTTTCTAGTTCCTTCGAAACCCAATTCCACGATACGCATAGCGCACGGTAGCGTTATGCCGTGAAACAAGGCCCGGGGCGGAAGTTCGGAGCCAGAAAAACCGGCGGAGCGGTGTGTTCGAGACTGGCGGGCGCCAGCGACGGCCGGGCAGCAGAACAGCACGTGCTCCGGCACATCAGCCTCTTCTCGGCTCGGCACACGGCGCAGAGCGCCGCGGGACACTGCTGGCACGCCGCGGAGGTAAGACTGCCGAATCGGTGCAGGTACTGGAGCGAGCGGCCCCAGTGGCCCACCCTCATCTGATGCACTGAAACGGCGTCCTCTCGGTCCTCTCCAGGGGTAGGGAGCTGCTGCTGCAGCGTGCTCCCGAGGAGTGGCTTGAATAGTGACTCGGACCAGTTGTAACGCCATTGACACGAGGCCGCACGATACACACAAGGCTATAGAACTCCACCCAGGATACACCACCCAGGTCAGCGAGTGGGTGGCGGAGGGAAGGGCGGCCGCTTGTTTCGCCAGGTTGTCCGCGCTCCCATTCCCCTCAAACCCGCAGTGGGCAGGAGCCGGGAACCCACTGCAGGATTAATCCACGATGCTCGGCGACGCCCAACAAGGTCTATCTCTGCGCCCAGGGTGGAGGCCTCACACGGGCGGACCCTTCTCCATTTCCGCAGAATAGCCTCAGGGCGGATCGAGTCGGGGTACGCGACGACCGGGGTGGGGGCGTCTCGTCCTGATCCCTATTGACAGTCGCCCGCAGGGCGATTCTGCTCCTAGATTGGACAGCGTGGCAGAAAATTTGGTGACCGCCTGCGCCATTCGCTGAAGAATTATGTGGACAACCCCAGCCGAAAAATTCAGAGGCCATTACAAGCTGAATTGTGCGCATGCGAAGTCAGGCCGGAAGGCAATGAAATTTTTGGTGCAATCCCTTCACTATTCCAAATATATTCGGCATAGTGTATTTTGGTAAAAGTATACATTAAGTCCGAGGGACTGTCAAAAGAGCTATGTTTCTATGCTGATGCTAATGCTATTTTTCACATACCTACCTCACTGTCAGAGAAGAAATCACCTAAATATTGATTTTGGAGGCACTGTAACAGGCTGGTTATATAGCCCTGAACAGGCCCTTGAATAAAAATAAATTAATAGAAAATAACACAGAAATGCGAAGCGGGGACACGCGCGCACTACGCACGGTATATAGGGCCTTGCTACGCACCCTACGCACGCGTCACTACGCGGTTTTGAGACAGTGCTGCCAGATGGAGAAGGCTGTAATCCTCCAGATCAGTTACAAAAATCCTCCAGATTCCTCCAAATCCCATTGGCGGATCCAGATAGGCGGTCTTGGACGCTGCGGGAGGGCATATCTCCGAAAAGGTTTCTCCAAATTCTAAAAACTCATCGGATTTCGATTCCTTTCGCACTGCTGTGTAGTTTAAAAGATGCTTTTTATAATAAAAGTTGTTTAGTTTTCGTTTTATCCTTGAAAAAAAAAAAACGAAAATTTTCTTCGATTTTGGACGCTGCAGGAGGGGGGGGGGGGAATTTGCGCCAAATATCCCCCTTTGATCCGCCAGTAGTTCGGTACCTTCAAAAACATATGGTACAATCGTACACGAAATAGGAACAAATAGTCACCATGATATTCGTGGATATGGCTACAGACTGAGACATTCCAGTCTCACGGTGATAAAGGGCAGTGATATATCCTAACGGGTAGGGTGAAGCTGGGCAGGAAAATGTCTTTTGAGTCTTGAACGCGTTGTATTTTTCCATGAAATTGAATATATTAATCGGGTGACAAATCCTCCAGATTTTCCTCCAGAATCAAAAATCCTCCAAACGCGAAATTTGTCCGCAAATAGAGTTCAAAATCCTCCAGATTTGCGGAAATCCTCCAAATCTGGCAGCACTGTTTTGAGAGCGCCATATTTGAGCCGTTAGCGCATGATTCGCTCCACCGCACATATATTTTTACCGGACAATTTTTACGACTACAGATTTCCATTTCTTTCTACGTTATTTCTATGTTTCTGCGGATAGCGTCTTCATTTTCTGCCATATCGTATGCATGTTTGTACGCCACACTTATACACGTACGCAAAATACAGCATTGTAAATGAAATATGTGTTATCAAAGCCTGAGTGAGGCTGGCGCTGAGCCTAACCACAGATCGCCTAACGATTCAGAACCAAACTGTCTGTTCCAATCGGGCCACAATTGGGACGGAGTTGAAAGGTGTGTCCGTAGAGTCTTATTTATAGGCTCATGATTTTTAAACGTGTTATTTGTTCCTCGGTGCGCGCAGCACCGCCCTTTCCGCGTAGGCTCTGCTTTTTTTGCATTTCGAGCTCGTAATTTGGTAGCTGGCGGGTAAGTTGGCAGTTATATTCCTCCAACACTCCAAAAAAGTACCTCACGCTGTCGTCACAGAAAAACAGTTTTCATATAAGACAACAATATCGCGTGACTAAAAAAAACATCCAGTTAAAAGATACACGATTTTTAAACTCAGAAAAGAAAGCAATCCAGGTGACAGTCGCTTCAAGTTGTAATAAATTTTTGCTCGTCCTTTACTTTTCCATCCATGAAATCTGCAGTTGCCTCGCCTGCTCAAGGTCGGTCGATTGTCTGTGGGTGGTGTGATACGTAGTTGTGGATATTTCAGGAAATCTCCAAAAGGTAAGAAAGAAGAGTATTCTGCATGACTTAGTAACCCATTCTTTTGCTAAAGCAGTCGCGAATATGCTAAATGTATGCCTTGGAAATCGGATAAGTCGGCAATAATTGACGTCGGGTTTGCCGGTACGCGCCATATATGTAACAACAGGCGTGCGTTGGCGATGAAATTTGCTTAAAAGCTAATATATTCGTCAGTTTAATGCTTTTTTGCATTCAAAAATAAATTTTAAGACGAACAGTCCACTATTATGTGCTGTTTTGTTGTATTCTGTTGAGATTTGTTGAAATTATCTCAGCCACCTGTTTTCTACCATGCTGATGCCTGAAATTTGTGCAAGTGCCGCAGCACATGCCTTATGTTTAGTGCTTGACTGCTTGGGATATTTAAATGAATGTCAGTGTACATTAATATGTGAATATTTAGGAACTTATTGTGAAGAAAAGCTCACCTCTGAAGGAGTGTCATATTTTTAAAGACACCTGCAAAACTATGTAACTTTTGGTAGTCGTAAAACAGGCGCCTCGCTTGATTTTTGCAACCAAGGTTAGGTGCTATACCCAGAGATGCTTTCTAATCAAACCAAATCAAACCTAACCAAACAACCTGACCTAACTTTACCTGCAACCTACAACCAAAAACAAAACCTACAACTTAAACCCTACCACCTAAAACCTAAAGCCTACAACCTGCAACCTAACCTACAGCACCTCTCCTTGGTTGCAAAAAATAAGTGTGATGCCTGCTTTACTACTGCCTAACTTCATGGAATAAACAACCAGGTAATAGGTATCACAGTTATCAGTTATCACCATAATAGCCATATTGTTTAACAAGGCCATGGAAGTCTTTTATAGAGACCTACATTCTTCTCTATTTTTTCATCCTCTTAGTTTTAAGGTTGAGTATATCTGACTATGCCACCTGATACTTGCTTTGATCAGGCACTCTTTCCTCTAGTGTCCTGAGTACTGAGTATGTAGAGAGGGAATTCTATATAGGGCATCTATAGGATTTAGAGTATGCTTGCATCATATGTTCGGTTGGCTTCTCGTTGACGAATGGTGCTTTGGGGCTTACATTTGGATCGCATCTACTGGTATGATTACTCCAATTGGATAAAACCCAACTTCTTCTTCTGGTCAACTTTTCTCTGGAGTTCATTTTACTGTCGTCTGGTGTAAATGGGACAGTTTTTTTTCGTTTGCGTGCTATTGTGGCAAATATATGAATGTTCACGCTCGCCGTTGAGTGTCAATGTGTGTGTGAGAGTGCGTGGTGTATGCGTTAGTGTAATATTTGTTAGTGTGTGTTGCAAGAACAAATGCATCACAGTATATATGTGTACTTTTAGAATGATGTACTAAGTTAGTGCATGTGTGTCAGTGTGTGCTGTAGGTATGTGTCACAGTTCGTGCATATACCCATGTAGATGTATATAAGATATCAATGCGTTTACCTCTAGCTGTGCACTAAGTTAGTGCGTATGTGTCAGTGTGTGTTGTAATTATACATGCGTCACAGCATGTGCGTATATCCCTATTCCTAGATAGAGACATATATTGTATATAAGATCTCCATGCGTTTACCTCTAGCTACATATGTACCTCTACCTACCAAGTTAGTGTGTGTGTCAGTTGTGTGTTGTAAGTATGAACACGTGCGCCACAAAGTGTGTACCTCTAGCTGTGCACTAAGTTAGTGCGTGTGTGTCAGTGTGTGTTGTAATTATACATGCGTCACAGTATGCGCGTATATCTCTATTCCTAGAGACATTTATTGTATTGATCTCCATGCGTTTACCTCTAGCTACATATGTACCTCTACCTACCAAGTTAGTGTGTGTGTCAGTTGTGTGTTGTAAGTATGAACACGTGCGCCACAAAGTGTGTACCTCTAGCTGTGCACTAAGTTAGTGCGTGTGTGTCAGTGTGTGTTGTAATTATACATGCGTCACAGTATGCGCGTATATCTCTATTCCTAGAGACATTTATTGTATTGATCTCCATGCGTTTACCTCTAGCTACATATGTACCTCTACCTACTAAGTTAGTGCGTCTGTCAGTTGTGTGTTGTAAGTACACGTGCGCCACAAAGTGTGTACCTCTAGCTATGTACTAAGTTAGCGCGTGTGTGTCAGTGTGTGTTGCCATGCCGCTGTCACTGAGCGTCAGTGTTTACATTGTACGGTCCAGTCGTGTTCAGGCCGGTCTGATGGGGCCCATCGATCGGTATGACCCCCCCCCACTCCACTCCCTCTGCCTGCCCCCTCCCCCCCCCCCCCCGCCTGGACTCGTTCAATGGTAATCCTCCAGCGTAGAGGAATAAGTGGATCAATCCTCTAGTGCGGGGAGTGAAACCGTTACGTAAAGGTAAAATAGTTCGAGGGTGTGACTAAATGAAACATGCTCTTGTTTAACGCAAAGGCGGTGGTGTCGTGAATGGTGCCCGTTTCGCATTCGTTTGTTTATTTAAGTGGCATATGGTGACGACCTTTTTAGGTCATGATCTGCCGTAAATTCACTCGGTAGTTCTGTCATGCTACATTCGCTTCTAGCTCTCGGTCTGAGATTGAGAAAAGTTACCGGGTTTCGAAGCGTAGCACGTGTCGTTGCGTGCGAATGCGATTCATGCTAACGTCTTTTGTCGTTTACTGGGGGCACAATATCAGATGGTTTTTGTTTCATTACAACACGGTTTAAGTATCGCACACCAGTATCTATTTTTGGTAACCCGTGCCTGAAAACGCACCGGTGTCAATTTACAAATTGCAACTTGTATTATGTCATAAGCCGTTAGTTGAGTTCTTTGGCGTGTGAAAGTTATCCTAATAGATAGCCCACCCGCTAATGATTACCATTATCAGCCGATGGATGAACCAGTGTGTTGGGTGTCTATTATGGCGGGTGAAGTGCGGTCCAACAATCGCGCTGTTCCGGTGTACGTTACAACTAATTGGCGGCAGTGTGGCCCGTAAAAGAAGTTCCCAGCATGTATGAGCGTTTATGTGGTCATCTTGTATGCATGGTATTCACAAGTGTCTGGGAAAGTGTGGACACGGGGCTACGCTGAGTAATTGGTAACCACCCAAACGTCAGCTCAGGTTATGGTTTTGGCCGCAATAGCGGATCATTCCGACTATTGAATATTCGCTGTTTTAATATTGGAGCTCTCCCTTTTGTGGGAACAGTCGACATTCTTGTTGGTGTGCCCATTCATTTTGACTCATATACAAACATGGTGGAAAATTTGTGAAATGACATCGAAAACGCCCAATCAGGACTTTTGAAATGCTTCGAAAGGCGCCGGAATGAATGAGTGAATGAAGCTGTGTGGCAATACTGGTTTCACTCACGACTGTTTTATTTCTAGCTTTACTTGGTGATAAGAATCAAAGCTTTATGGCTTCGGGTTGTACGACCTCCAGTTGTGGCCAGTTGCATAGCATCGTTATTGATCGGGTTCGCTCGTGTATTTCTGTTGCTGTTTGAGACAGATTGAGGGTTCGAAGTGGAGTCTGTAACTCTGTAACTAGTGATTCATCGAACTCCGTTCGCCTCGCTGTAACAAGCGGCCTTGCGGCCCGGTTATGGCCAGTCGAGGCGGGGTCCGGGCGCGCTGCGGTCTCAGCTGCAATAAAACCGGCAGCTCTACCGTGGTCCGTTGCCTCGCAGGAATTCGAGGCATGCAGCGACGACCTCGCTGCACTGCTTGACAGACGGACACACAGACGGAGCGATGCCGTTGGTCGGTCTCACAGGTCGCAGATACAGACATACAGGTATATCAAGCGTAGGTCTACGCTTGATTACCACCTTGTGGAACCATGAAGCTGCATGTGGATGACCCTAGAGATGCGGTTGTAGCAATCTATGCACCAGATAAATTCAATGATGGCCAGTAACTTTGATCAAACAGACCTGGTAAAAGTCGAACCATCCAGCCGGCTAGACTAGACAGACGCCGTCCAAGCATCTCTATCACTCCAGTCACGACCTGTCGGCGGGAGTTGACCCACCGCTGGGTCTGCCGTCTGGACCAAACCATCCTCTCTCAGTCGGTTTGGGTTAGCTCTCCAGGTCGGGTAGGTCACTGACCCGCCGCGGCCGAGTCTGCACTCATCCCCTCCCCTCCCCACGGCCCACCCCCTCCGCCTCCGCCGCGAGTTTTTGCAGCAGCCAAGGCCGTCCGATGACCTGGGAGGTGATTGGTGTGCCTCGTCTGTGTGTCTGTGTGTCTGTGTGTACGATTTTGTCGATCTTCGTACCGATATGTCTGTCTGTCTGTCTGTCTGTCTGTCTGTCTGTCTGTGTGTCTGTCTGTGTCTGTCTGTCTGTCTGTATGTGCGCGTCTCTGAATGTTGGTTTGCATATAATTAAGTTTCTTATTGCCTAAAGTATAGTGTATGTTGTATAATTGTATATGTCTGCTTGTCTGTGGCCAATTCTCTGTCTGTCTTTCTGGCCCTCTCCATCTCTGTTCTCCCACCAGTTTTTCATTCTTTTCTGACCCTCATCCGTTCAAAACTCAGAATTCCAATTTAATTGGGCCGTCTCAACACCGCTAAAATCGACCAATATTTCCACATCATGCAACTGAATAACATGATACTTGGTAGGTATTTTAGTTGCTGCTAAGTTGACTTACTGCGATTTCTCTCTATTGGTTTATCATTTCTCTGCAATTTACTCATCCCTAGTGACTCCACCCAGCCCCGTGTCCTATCCATTGTCTGCTAGTTCATCGGCTATCCGTTTGATGGCTCGCCCGTCTGGTCGAGTGACCCGTTACGTCCTGGCGTATATCGCCGTCCACGGCGCGTGGCGGCTCCGTCTGGGAGCTGGGTGTCGCTGGGTCCAATGCGCACCCCGCCGCCGCCGCCGCCGCCGCCGGCTCGGTATGCTGTGTTTATGGTCGACACGCCCCGTTGCCAGCTCGTCGCCGAGGTGCATTGCCTCTGTCGCCGTCGCCGCCGCCGCCGCCGCTGCCGCTGTCGTCATCG